TTTTCATGTGTGCTTAACCATTTCTTGGACATGCCTTAACCAATTAAGAAACATAAGGCAAAACATAATGGTATACATAGAGTAGGCACATTGATTCGTTCTGTGTTTTTTTCCCCCATTTTTGTACCTCCCAAAACACCGATTTCAATCAAACTTCATATGAATATCACGCACTGGTGCATGTCTGTTTGTTTTGTGTTTTGAATCAGTCACCATAAACTGACAATGACTTGTTCTATATTTGCATTGTTAATTTTGAATCAAATGAACATAATTTCCTGTATCCTACAGGTATTGATCAGATTTTACATATAGCACAGTGTAGGGCTAGAGTAACAAGTAATTTTTCTATTTCAAATGTTTAATGTGCCTGATATTTATGGTATTCTAGCAATTTGGCTATTTTTGTCCCAATATTCTAAAGGATAGTCTAAGACTGTAAACTAGACTATTTTGTGAATTTGTGATGGAAAGAAGGAACTGGTGCTGAAAAGTGCTGAAACACTATTTATTTCCGGTTGCCTCGCGTAATATTCTATCATTGTGTAGTACAAAAATGTAGTATATTCCTGAAGCTCAATTGTGCATCACCCTATAGCATGTGTTTTCCGGGGTCCCTGTGATAATCATAATAGCTGAGTTTACAGAATTCAAAAATTGCAGGTATTTGACAGTACTAACAAATTGTACCGGTAATCTTGTCATTTATATGTCCCAAATCTTTGAAATTTAAGTTATGATACGAGCAGAAATATCTTTTGCATTCATCAGAATTAATAGGATTTATTTCAGAAAGCAAACTTTTACAAGTAGTCGCATTACATTTTATTCACTTTCAGACTACCATTCTCCTTATGAAAGGTGGATACAACATCCTTGAAACAATTCATTCAAATCCTAGTCACGCTGTTCGCTTCCCATGAAGCGTTGAGACATTTCCACTGATGTATCACCATTGATATGAACTCGACCATGTAACTCTGCATTCAGTGCACTTTGTAAAGGCTGTATTTACACTCAACTCACTTTTCAAGTACTTTTAACAAATACTACGAGATCTAGCTTTTTTTTTTTTATTTGATTTCATGATCAATGAAAAGTTCAAAGTACAGTTGAACCACATGTAATTACCCAACCCACTGGCCCTGAATTTATCCCGATAATTGATAGTCTGCATAGTTGTTTGCATAACCGTCCTTTGTTACTAATAAGACCCTGAAAAAGTACACAGAGTAACAATAGTTTATTAATTCTTATTACCGGTATGTTTTGACTGTATGACTTTCGTCATGATTGCGAAATCATACAAAAATCAGATGTACCCTAATTATATGATTATAAATCACTTGTGGACATTGTACACAGACAATAACTGTTTCAACTGTATTACTTCACCATGGCTTTTCAGTGATTTGTTATAAATCTCAAGGAAATTTATTGCATGAACAAAGCCAGTGCTAAACTAATTCGCTACCACAAAAGTTATAAATATGGATATCGCTATTCTGTTTTTTGTTTATTTATTTGTTTGCTTGTGTTTGTTGTCTCTTCCACAGGTCGCACGGCTATTCACTGTGCTTCCAGAGGAGGTCATGCAGAATGTGTAGAAAGGCTTTTACAGTATCAATCGCCCGTCTTTCCTGGAGATTATCAAATGCTGACCCCTTTACATCATGCTGGTAAGTTGTCAAACCCGCAAGATTACAAGAAATCAGTTCATGCCAATCAGTGAATAGTCGGGATAGTTAATCAAATTTGGAGGATCAGAGACCAGTGCACCATCATCGTACAAGTATACTCTGGGGAATTACCTGCTTTTATTCCCAGTGCTGCATGTGAACAAAACTTTTTTGTTTGGCTGAAAAGAAATCAAACTGCCCGCGCTTGAATGAAACTGACAAGGGGTGGTTATTAGGTCATTACCTGAAGGCATGTCTAACTTATAGCAGTAGGATTTATTGTCTGTTTGTCAGTTAAAGGTGAAACTTGTGTGGCGTCAGCTGATGTTTCATTTGGAGAGGTTGCATTTCAAACACTCCCGCCGTCTTTTCCTCCACCTGCACCTACTGAATAATTGATGTGACTGAGGTACAATAGAAACCAGACTTTACTTTCATGAGATGTTGATTAGCTGAATTTGAGACTTATCCTTCCAATATATCGTTTGATTGATCTTCTAGATTCATCTGCACTTCCATTGAATGTAAAATAATACTGGCTGCAGGCCCTTACAGTTAGGCACTGCAGGAGTCAGATAACTAATGAATGATACAATTAAAGAGATTTCCCATCATTCAATAGATCTTTTTTACAATCCAAATAACAATGGACTTAGCTATACCTACAGACAATGTGGTCAATGCCTTACAATTTTGTGATTTACTATACTTGACCCTTCCCCTTTGACCTTAGAATGTCACAGCAAATAAAACACTGAATTATTGGTGCATTGTGACCGCATTATATGCTTGGCAAGTGAACATGCATGCGTATTTGAGAAGAGAACAATTGTGAAATGTGAATGTTAGTCGTTTTGAATTGACGAGACATTGCAGCTATTATTGTCTCTTTGCAACGGAATTGTTGGTAGTTTCTAGTTAATTGTTAGTCCAAAGCCAGAACCTGGTTGTAGATTTGGTGGTGTGTGTGTGGGACTCTCAATTCCTGAACACACATGTACGCAGAATAGGTTCAATGATTTATGTCATGCAGACAAACAAGATGGTAAAATGGTGGCCATTATTTGTGTAAATACCCCACGATTCTTCTGCTTTTATCTTTTTAAGCATACGAGATATTCAAATTAAATTGTATTTAATTGATTTTCCTAAAACTTGTTGATTGTCTTTTGATTAAATATGATATGCAAATTGTTAATTTCATAATTTTAAAATGTATGCGGAACAAAATTTTGTGAAATCCACTTACTGTGACTCCCTGTCTTTTCCAGCGTAACTTATATTTGCTTATAAGTCCTCCTTGCAAGACCAACAAATGTCGCATTGTTTTTATCATGTTTTCTTTTCATCTTCAGCGATTGGTGGACATTACCATTGCGTTTTAGTGTTAATAGATTATCAGTCTCCTATTGACCCTAAAGATCTGGTGAGTTGATTTTCAGTTTTCATATGTGTGATTTTACCCAAAAGTTGCATATTTCACTTTGGTAAAATACATTTACCAGTCACCATACTTGGAAGTGCTTGTAAAACACGCACAGTTTCCTTAGTATATGGTAATAGATATAAAATGAAATTGTAGAAGAACACACTTTCCTTCAAAATTTAGTGAACATTTTTATGTTTTGTTTTTTCTTTCTTTTTTTTTCTTCTTTTTTTCTTCTATAATTTAAATCAACATAATTTCTTTCATACTCCTTACAGTTCTTGATCAATTTTTTTTAAGGAAATACCAAAAAAAATATGACAGTATATTTTGTTAATGTTGGCTTTGACATTCAATGGGTAAAATACATACACATGGAATAGAATCAACCTATTGTAGTCCAGTTGTGAGGAGATGATCAAATAAACGGATCTTGGCTAGTGCAGATGCTATTTGTATAGTTTTGGGGAATCATTTCCAACAGTAGGTTTCAGATTTTATTAATGTAAATGTTCATTTCTTTCAAATAATTTTATCATGGCAAGCTTACAATAGTTTCTCTTATGTTTCCCTCCTAGAACGGTAAAACTCCACTATGTCTGGCCTCTCAGTTGGGTAACACCTATGTATGTAAAGAGTTGATTGAAAGAGGTGCTAACATTAATGCAATTGATGATGAATACATGTGAGTATCTAGTTATTTGTGTCTCTGTATTACACATTACTGTATATTTGTGTATATTTGTAGCACATGTGCTTTAATACATTAATTACAGAGGTGTGGGTATGCTCACAATAAGTTATAAGTTGTACATGATTTATGGATGCATTTCTTTTAGAACCAATATGGTCTTGCGAATAGTCGCATTTGTAATGCCATCAGTATAGGCGCGGTTACGAACAAATTAACTGTGTTTTAGGGTGTAAATTTCATGAAAGTCTCTGTGACTTGCTGTCTTAAAGTTGAAAATTTGATTTTGAATAACTTGTCCCAAAATTAAATCTGAAAGTTACAGCACTCGCAAGTAATACTGATTGAAAACTGTCATTACTTGCCTTCACTGCAACAAATCCTGTTGTACATTTCTGTTTCAATTCCGCCTCGGGTCATGAAAAACATCACTGACCTAGGGAGTATGGTTAGTTTGCTCACATGCTGTGACAACATGTGACAACATAATTGTCCTATGGGGGAGGGGGTATAATTACTATACATTATATAGCAAGTATAGAACAAGTTTCCTAATAAATAACATTTATTTCATTAGTAAATACAAAGAAATTCCTGTAATTAGTATTTGGTGGTTGACAATAAAGAGGGAAAATGGTGTGGTTTCGATTATGTCCGATCATGAAAAATGACCAATAACAAAATAACTTTCACTTTCCCAAATTGGTTAGATTTCAGTATAATCTGGGCATTTATTTAATAATGTAATATATATATATTTCTTTTTTCATAATGTTCATGTTTGATCATTAAAATATTACCTAGTGTGTATTTCCCCTCATTGCAAACTCATCTGATAATGTATTATTTAATAATATAATATATTTGATTACACATTCAAATACACCACGCTCTTGTCTCTTCGACAACTTAACATTCACAGGTGTTTTTCTTGCTTTGACCTGGGGTGTTTTGCCCTGGAGTGTTTGTTCAGGGGCAAGCCGCTAGGGGATGTTCTACAGTAACATAGCGAATGTTTAAATGTGTCATGATTTGAATGTGTACATGTAACACATTTGAACAGGGTCCCACAGCACCATTGATTCTACTCGCAAGGATTTTTACAGATGGTTACATTTCATTATTGTCACTGCCGGACGTACAGATAATGCTATATCATCATCACTGTGTTTGATTGATCTTGCTTTAAAGGACCCCTTTAATGTATGCGTGTAGCCATGCCAACAAGGAAGTGGTACAATTGTTGGTGAAGAAAGGAGGCAAGGTCAATATGAAAGACAAGTCAGGTCATGATGCCTTTTATTATGGTGAACATTCTGAACAGCCTGATATCACACGATATTTAGAACATGCTCCCACAGTGGCTAACTGGAACGTCAGTGAGTAATCTTATAGTTCATCTAATTACCGGGATAGTGGACTTTTTAATAGTGATGTTATATCGACTGTTTTTGAATACAACATTTAATACTACATGTACATGTAGCTAATAGGGGAATCAATTTATGTATATGAAGTTAGGAGAGGGGGTCGTAAATATCACAGTCGTTCCTGGATCTGGATTAACTTTTAAGCACCCTTGTCGTAAGTACATGTGCTATATCAGAAAGCTGTAGGTTATTATTTTTACCATCTGCGTTTCATTGTTTTCTTACCAATGCTCAACACATTTCTGAAAGTGTATTTCACACTTCCAGGCATACATTTCGTACCTCTTAAACATAATGAAATCTAGCCTTGATTTCATGTACATGTATGTTACTGGTATGGTTTAAAACTCATTGAGCATGTGCTGGTGAACCACTTGTAATCAGTACTATTACCAGTAGCACTGTTTACTGGATGGATGGATGCACCTTTCCCATTTAGGTAAACCACAGTAAAAAAAAAAAAAAAACAGCATTAGAGAGTTCATTTCAAAGTATTATCTCATTTAATTTTAGTTTGCAACATGAAAATGCTTTGCCATTCTAATCAATGGTACATTTTCATATTTATTTTTACTCCCATAATGCATTGCACATAATTGCTCAGTAACAAACTTGATGGAAATATGGCTGGATTTATATGTGACAGGACAAGTCACTATCTGTTCGAATCTTTTTGTAATCTTTTTTATTATTATTTTCCCCCAATCTGTACTGCCATGCCAGTGTTAACTAAAGGAATGCATAAACTGTTGGATAAGTATACAAAAGGTCAAATACCATCAACCGGTAGTGAGAGTGAGTTATTGTTGATATTTAGTTGATGGGTGTCAGGATTTATTCTATATACAATGTAACGGCGAAATCTTGTTGACCAAATGATGCATGTTTGCAGTGCTTGAAATATCAAATTATTCTCTATATACTGTAAAATACTTTATTTTAGCTGGAATTAATTTTCGCTGAAAAGACTTTTTTGGTGTTTTGTGTGGAATTTAATATGGAGTTGAATGTAAAATATAGAATAAAAAGTTATATTGCTGGATTTTAGTTTCACTGAATCATTCCTTCAACAAAAATACATATATCAAAAATTAGTTGCAAGCGAAAATAAAGTATTTTACAGTACGCATAAATGCATAAATCTAGAATAACCATTTTATTTATTGGAAAGACTGTCAACAAGACTTCAACCATTTGGTATTGAGCATCTTGCATGTGAGGGTTGTTGATTACACTTCGGGGATGTTTTGATTCAAATTGAACACATTGTCCGCTGCTATACACCAACTGTGGAGTCTTTCAGCCGATGATGCATTTGTTCTTTGAATGACAAGTCACCTTTTGTCACCTGATACAAAAAAACACCTGCATAATATTCTTCATATTATTTTTTCGACCTGTGTAGCATCGTTATATTCATGAACAAAAAAATTAAATTAAAATGCAATCAAATTTGGCAAGACAAATCATGGCATTCAACGGTTAATGTTCTTGTAATGTTTAGTTTTTGAAGGGACTACACTATGGTATAGGTGAGGGATAAAATCCATGAAATAGATTCTCTTTCTCTACCTAAGTATTCTGAAATAAACAGTATGACATTTCAAATACTGAAGTGACAGTATCGTAGTAACTGTGCATGTACATGCTATGCTCATAGACACTCAATGCAGGAATTCGCTATGATTACATGAATTCATTTCTGGATTTTTTGCTCAATAATACACATGTATATGTTACTCATCGAATATAGATATTTGTACCCTGAGTGCAGGGTATTCACTCTTCCTCTCCAAATTTTGTAAAAGTGAATTCATGTAATAACCCCTTTTATAAGTATTGTTATTGTTGTTTGCATCACAGAAAAAATATTATTCTATTCAGATACTCCTGTGCCTAGTGGCTATTTTAATGTTGGTACAAAATGACAGCTAAGCTGAATGCAACAACTTTTGTAGTGATTGTAATGGATACAACTGTAAATCATTATTACACTTCAATAAATTGTGTATGCAATATAACAACAACAAATAAACAAAATAGAACAGAATGTGCACTTACATGGTTGCTATGACGATATTGTCTCTTTATAGCATGCAACTATATTTTAAGTATGGTGAAACGTTTTGGTGGGATAACTCATAACGAAAGATTGCTTCTCTCACCCAAATTTGAATAATGTTAAGTTTTATTTTTATATCAACTCCAGTGACGCCTGAGACTAACAACTTTTACGAGGAGGAAGGGGTGGATGTAGAGGATGGGGAGATAGAAGGTCATATAAATGATGCAGATTACGTTGGTAGGTTCAACAATGATGACACCGATGACGATAATAATGTGTCAGAAAATGATGATAGAATGGTGAGTATTTATTGTAATTTTAACACACCCTATAGTGGAGTCACAACCAAAGATTCTGTGTTCAGATTGAAATTAAAATTCGTTTGCTGTTATTGAGATATTAATAGTGACCGTTTTTACAATTTTAAAACAATTGGTTTTACTACTGAATGATCAAATTCATCTTTCAGGGCTAATCAGTGTAAAAGATATTTTTATGGTGCTTTTTCGAAAAATAATCACAAGAAATTTCCAATAGTTTTAATAGCATAACTCAAGACAAAATATCAATGCTGCTTAATGCATTGTGTTATATCCAGTTGTTTGTGTGAGAGTTTTATATAAACAAGTTTAATAGATTTTAATTGCTGTTGTTTTGTCGGGCGAGATGCAAGTCATAGGTGTGTTTGTTAATTAAGTTTGAATTGTCTAGTTAGACTTCAAAATGTTTTCTATAATTAATATTCAATTCGCTGTATTATTTCTGTTCAGCAATAGCTTTGATGTTTAATTTAGATTATTCGTATTCCTATTATATCATACAATATGTATTTGACCTATGACGTTATTACCGCGATCAGTGATTGGTTTAGAACCGATCTATCACAACTTGAGTTTTGTGTCATGTGACACTTGAGGTTCTCGCGCCATTGTTATCGTTATTATTATTTTTACGTTTTGTTGTTGTTTCATGTCGATGTTTCCTTTTCAAAGTTCAATAAATGTCAATCCTGACATGAGACTTTCCGACTTCGTGAATTGTTCCGACCTATAGTGTACAGTGGCTATACTTCGAGCCAAATCACAGCCACATATTTCTTAGAAATGTCTTGCAATTTACATGTGGGTATGAAAGCCATGTTGTTCCATTATATTTTGTACTGCATATCCACACTGAATACAAATTATTTCTCAATTCTTATAACATTTCGTAAACTGTCAACCTGGATGCCTATCATTTATTAAATAAACATGTTCAGTGCAAAACTAAAGCTGTCATTATAAACAATAGATTTGCCTAAAACTGCAGATTTGTCGTTTTTACATTAAGTGTATGCACTACTAATAATGCAAATACGGTATTCCTGATTCCCAGAAGAGTATCAACTCTACATTGCATGTGATATCAATATTGTCATGTACATGCTAGCCAAGCAACTAGTGAACACAAAACTCTGCCTTGCATTACTTCAATGTTTTCTATATTTGACTTCAGTCTAATGACCTGATAGATGCAGTACAGTATCAGAATAACATACAAGCACAGCCGCCATCAAGAGAAAATCATTCTATGCAGGACATCAAAGTGAGTGAATGACCATGAGTTGAGATTACAATGACCTTTGTGGTATGAAATGGGGATATGTTCTATAGCTATTAGCATGATATTACAGCAATTCCAGGCACTGATTTGATGCTGAAGTAGTTCAGGATGTTGATAACTTACTACAGTAGGTTACACATTTTGTTTTCACATTTACAGAAGTTGTAACTAGAAATATAAACATCGACTGCGAATCAGAGGAATGATTGACAGATATTGCCCACAATGTTTTCTATTTTTGCTACAAAGTCAGGTACACCTAGACTTTGAGGCGCGTCTGTCTTTCATTCATTTTTGGTCGGTCATCGTGTAGATTGCGTGTCTACAAATCGGCATTTGTCCAAGTTGTTTAAGCACCACGATGGAGAAGCAAGGAGTCAAAAAACCAGTTGAAGTGAGAACAAGAGTTGTCGATTTGTATTTTCGTGGACTGTAATTTGCTGAGATTAGAGATCGAAATGGTGTTTCAAAGCAGACAGCTTAAAATATCGTCAAATGGTTTGTAACCACCGAGAGTATCCTGCCAAGAAACTGACAACGTTATAGACTATGTCGAATATTATAAAGCATTTACGGGCGGGAAATTCATTAAAAACTACTTGTGTACGGCGACAACCCTCCCTGACGTGTGATCGTGTATTGCCAGCCTGAGTGATAAGGTTTTTGACTCCCATGTGCGAAGCACAAAATGGGAGTCTTTGCAGTTAGTGTGTCTGTATGTGTGTATGTGTGTATGTGTGTATGTGTGTATGTGTGTATGTGTGTGTGTATGTGTGTATGTGTGTCCGACTGTTCCACTGCTATCTCAAGAACCATACATCGGTTTTTGATGAAACTTGGTGCATAGATGCTCTGGGCCAATGCGCAGATTTGATTAGGTTTTGGTAAAAATCCATGCTCGTTAATTACCTAATTTGCATGATATTTAGCTAATTTTTAGCTGTTCTATGACTGTTCCACTGATATCTAAAGAACCACTCATTGGATTTTGATGAAACTTGGTACATAGATGCTCTGAACATATGCGCAGATTTGATTAATTTTTGGTAAAAATCCGTGCATATTAATTACCTAATTTACATGATAATTAGCTATTTTTTAGTGGTTCCATGACTGTTCCACTGATATCTAAACAACCACTCATTGGATTTTGATGAAACTT